GCCAGGTGGCCGTTGGACGCTCAAAGAACACACGGTAATCGCTTAGGTCGCACACAGAACGTTCAAGCATCGTTTATCAGTCTAGCAGGAGGCAGAAAGTTCTTAGAATGATAGCCACTGAACGTCGATGAAGGTACAGAGAACGTAATGAAGGGTTCGCAATGAATCCTTGAACCCTGTAGGTTGTGCAGGGGACGCACAGGGGAGGCAGGCGGGTAGCTCAATGGACGCACAGGTCGCTCGCTGTTTTACCAGTAAAACCTTCATTCGGTCGATCAAAGAAGGCACAAAGGACGAAGAAGCATTTACACTGAGACACGATTTAATTGTTTTGGCGACAACTGAGCTTCTTGACCACATTACTGATTGTAGAAGGGACGCTGAAATGACGCCGTCCACTGTAAAGGGGACTAAATTTAAAGTAACAAAGTTGTGCCGTCTGCTGTTTATAAAAAATTAAGGTAATTCCCACTGTGTAGGGAATTAACACGGGGTTATAAATGTTATACGAGGTTGAGCATTTTAATTCAAGCGAAGGACACATTTTGCCTGCAATAAGTGAACTATTTATTTGATTTTTCAATCAACAACCAATGACTTTCATTGTGTGACCTCACTGAACAAGCAGCGAGTTATATGATACAAAAACAGTACCAGTGGGTTTTACGCTTTTTGAAAATTTCAAATTGGGGAAATTTCAATATCAATAAATTAAAATTATAAAAATTCTAAATGTCAGCAGGTCCCGTATATAACTGATAATAACGCATGGAATTATTCTTGTTGTTCCGTGATCCAACCATATCACAATGCAGCAAGCCGTCAATAAAATAGCAGTGTTTCCTCCTTAATATCCTATGACCAATTAATAATCAGAATAATTCCTAATTTTGACAACCATTAATTTCTCAGGATTAAGATAGCATGTGTATAACATATTCAAAATATCAGTGTCCTTCTTCTTTGCATTTCTTTGTAAATTGATGTTGATATTTGAAACCTTTCTGGTCATTTTTATAATTTGTTGTTCTTTTTTGGTCACAATTTTATTATCTTGAAGCACCGGAATAATCAAAACGTATTTCTTTTCCAAATAATTTTTCTAGTTTTCTTGGATCTGCGCATCTAACATTCATATGTCAAAATCAAAGCCGGTACAGATCAGATATCCCATGTATCGTCATCAGCACTTACGACTTTAGTTCATGCATCTAAAAGCATTGCTTATAATATCTTAGAAAATAAAACAATGTCTAAGTGAATGCCTGATTGCTAAATGCATGTCTCCAAGGTGGAAATGAAGCGAAATCGGTCTCGTTCTCACTATCCGACGAGGCATTAATGTCCTCAATGTCGCCGATGTCTCCTTCCGTGACGTATTTGTTTGCCCCGATAGATGTCATCTGGTGTGTGTAGGCCATGGGCGACGATCTACGGGGATGCTCTGGCGTGGAGCTGACTTTATATTTCTGTCCCCAGAAACAGCGATAGGCAATAACAGCAGTAAGGCACAGTGCCACCACTCCACCCACTGCGCCTGCGCCGGCCTTGAAGCCCACCGTCTGGTACCATGGTTCTTGTGGGGACTTTACCACAGTCGCTGAAATAAAGAGAACATAATTTGTTTCATTTACTTGCGCCAATTTTTTTCTGTACATCATCCTCGGTTTACCTTCTTTGTGTCTTTCATTCTTTTGGCCATTTTACTTTTTTCTCAGCTTGGCGTGTTCCCATGACACGTTATTTGCAAATATACAGGTATGTGTTCAGAAAACATACAAGTATTGCACGTATAACTAAGGACTTAGGGTCATTTGGTAAACGTATCATTGTAATTAGCCTATACATCACCGGATGTGGAAATTACTAACTTTTTATCAGGTGTTTGTGTTCGTTTAGATAAAAGCGGGATTCAATTCATACATGTTAACTTGGTCATTGTTTTGAGCCACTGTAACATACCCTGTGTTGTCGTCGTCTTCGGTGTTGGTTCTGTCTCACCACTTGTCACTTTACCCGGGGTGCCCGTGGTTGAAGAACTCCCAAGTGTCGTGGAAACCGGTGATACGGTGTTAGTCGTAGGGTTCACAACGACTGTATCATTTCGTTCCTCAACAAGGTGTCCGTAGACAGAAATAACAACAGGCAAGATGGCGGACTTTGGTGGCTCTCCTCCATCTTCCGCCAAAATGGTAAGGTCATATCGATATTGGGCTAGGTAACGCACGACGCTCAGCTCTCCGGTGTCTTCGTTGACAGCAAATACAGCATCAGGGTTGCTTTCGTTGGTTATAGAGTGTCGAACTGTTCCGTACGACCCACTGTCTTTGTCTGTGGCCAGGAACCGCCCTACCGTGCGTCCTAGCTCGCCGCTGGCATTCACTGGAATCTCTGGGAAACCAAACAACTGGAAAAGTGGCGCGTTATCGTTGACGTCTTGGACAATGATGGCGACCTTGGTGGCAGCACTCTTGGGCGGTACGCCCTTGTCAGATGCCACTACTGTCATAATGTACTCCTGCGGAAGACTGTCGTAGTCCAGTTTGGCTACCACTGATAACTGTCCCTGACTGTCCATGTTGAAGAACCGCTCCGCTCCGTTGCTTCCAGAGAAAGTATATTCTAGTTTGCCATTTCGCCCTGTATCTAAGTCTGCCGCGTTAATCATAGTAATGTTCTCTTGAAACACGATAATAGTTCCTGGTGGGGCATTTTCCGGCACAGTGCCATTGTACCAGTTGTATGCAAACACTGGGCTGTGATAGTTCGAACCAATTCTAATAGAACAGTCGACGCCGTCGTATTCATCCAGACACTCGCACTGGTTAGGTGAGACGCAACTTCCATTACCAGAGCAGTTGGCCACATCACTGCAGACGGGCTCGTCACAGCGTTCACCCAGCCAGCCGGGAGAACACAAGCACGTGTCCAAAGATACACAAAGTCCATTGCCTGCATAGAGGAAAGACAAACACAAGTATGTCACATAGCGTAACATAGAGAGAGGAACAAATGCAATCGTTGCGGATGTAACACATAAGACTTATGGCTTTTATTTTAAACTAGTTTCTTCCGCAGTAAGGGAATGCAATCGTGTCCAAACTCCCAATGAACGCATTACTGGCAGATACCTGCTGGTCAAGTGGATGTTTTAACGCTTTTCTTTGAAAATAAACGGGTTAGTCGCACAGTTAGAATAAATATATACAACCATATAGAATATGACATTGTGGGTATGTATTGAGTTATACAGTTATTACCAGAGCAGTATCCAAGAGCTTCACATGAGAAATTAGAGCAGTCATTTCCCCCGAAGCCTGGGTCACAGTTACAGAGGTTGGGCTCCAAACACGCACCGTGTCCTGAACAGTTGTTTACGGCAGAACATGAGACGGTGTCACACGTGTCGCCACGGTAGCCTTCAAAACACCTGTTACAAATATCATTTTAGAAGGGATAAAATAAAATCATAAATATATGTACTGTTTTCCTCCCTCAGAAATTCTCTAAATTTGTCATACGGCAAATTGTAAAAATTATGATAACACTTTTAAAATCATCTTATTTTAAGTGTCATAAATGGACCCAGCCTATGCTTTCACCAAACATATATTTTAAAAACCGTTGTTACGTGTCACTTTCGTAGACAATTGCTGTGGGATTTCTGTTATTAAGATATAAACAAATGCTTGCCACCTCTAAATGAAGGTAACGAAAAGTACAATACCTGCACCTAACAGCCGTATCATTCCCTTCAAAGGCAGCGCATATACCGTGGTCATTACAGCCATTTAACGATGTGCAATTCTTCATTGCGGTGCAGTTTTCACCATGGTAACCGTCATAACACGTGCACGTGTGAGGTGACGTACACACCCCGTGTAGGGAGCAGTCATTATTTGAAGAACAGTCTGGCAGAGCGCAGCTGTCACCTTGCCAACCATTGTCACAACTGCATACGTCGTATCCTTTACACTGACCGTGGCCTGGAAAGGTAGATGCTTCAACATTCTTCTAATTGAACTACTGATGATAACGCATATGACAGTGATGTATAAAAGCATATCGTATAGTACTGCTTTATTCTATCACGTATTGTTACATGTCGCATTATACAAAAACGTTTTTTTTTTTTTTTTTTTTTTTTTGTGTGTGCTTTATCAAATGCATCCCTTTTTCATATCATTCACGTAAGAACAATCGTGAAAATCTCTCCTATGAACAACACACCTGAGCACGCCGCCAGACGTTCACAAGAAAACTCTGTGCAACTTGGCCCCGCCCATCCGCTGTCACATTTGCATACGTCAAAGTCCACGCAGACCCCGTGACCGGAGCAGTCAGACACGTTGAAACAAGTTGCAACGATGCTACAGTCACTACCTAAATATACAGAATTGAAGACGTGCGTAAATTAGTGTTCGTGTTTTTTTTTCTTTTTTTGTTTTTTTTGCCACAGAAACTTCGTAAATTAATTTGAATATACAGGTAGGGTGCATGAAATACTTTTCTACTTAGATCGATCCAACTGCACGGGGACTCTCGCTGAATGCAATCGAATTAACTACATGACAAGTTTACTCGGGCGTTAGGGGTGATCTCGGTGTACGCTGGGGTTCTGGTAGACAGAGGCATCTGTTGGTCATGTAACACACACCGTGGTCCTCAGTACATACCCACAAATCCTGGTATACAGCGACACCTGTTGGTGCTGTAACACACACCGTGGTCCTCAATACATACCCACAAATCCTGTTAGACAGCGACACCTGTTGGTCCTGTAACACACACCGTGGTCCTCAATATATACCCACAAATCCTGGTAGACAGCGACACCTGTTGGTCTTATAACACACACCGTGGTCCTCAATACATACCCACAAATCCTGTTAGACAGCGACACCAGTTGGCGCTGTAACACATACCGTTGTCCTCAATACATACCCACAAATCCTGGTAGACAGCGACACCTGTTGGTCTTATAACACACACCGTGGTCCTCAATACATACCCACAAACCCTGGTAGACAGCGACACCTGTTGGTCCTGTAACACACACCGTGGTCCTCGTCAGTGCAGTTATTCACATACAGACACGTGGCTGGAATAGAGTACGGCGTTGAAGTTATTAGTTCATTTTAGGAGAGTATGTTCTGTGTGGTATGGCACATTACGTTATGCAGCACACACATTCCTCTTCTATACACTTACTCATATTATAGCGTTACTCGTGTGTTGTTGATGCAATGGTATGAAGTTTTCTATCAAACACAAGAAGAAAAAAGACTTGAGGTCCTGACTGCGATACATTTGTTTATTAACAAGACTGATGCCGTCAGAGGAATGTGTGGTGGTGAGGCGTGGCGAGCGAAAGGAGAATAAATGCTATACAGTAAGCAACTATGACTATCGTACACAATAGAGTGCCCCAGAAGAGCAATCTAGTGCATACAGTAAACGGGTGTTTTGTAAGTTCCCTATAGTTACCTTTCTGGTCACAGGCTGTCCCTTCCCAGCCCACAGTACACACGCAGAAACCGCTGTCACACACACCATTGACGCAGGCACCACAGGAACCTGTATGAACCGGAGTGATATTGGCGTTAGTATTGTCACTTGTATTATAATTCAAAACATAGCTAAATTTATATAAAAACACTATTATTATTATTATTATTGCACAGAGCAGTGGGTGTCACAGTTTCATACATATTTAAAAACGTGATTTTGTCAAACGCATTTTAGAAACAAAAAGGAAAAGAAAAAAATGGAAAAAATATCCAAAAAGACTTTGAATATCTTTTTCCTAAGATATATGTCAAATCTACATGAGGCACTAAATGGCCGCAAATTGTTTCCATAATGTCGAAAATGGGTTTCTTTTTCTTAATTTAGTCAGGTTTGATAATCTACACGTTTTTAGGCAAAAAAAAGTGATGGAAATATGAAATATTGTATTTTGGTATCTAATTTGCATGATTTATGCGTGTCTCTATAGATAATTTTTTTCTTCTTTTGCCCAAGGAACATTCATGCCAAGTTAGACATTTGTACTATAAAATGCAGCGTTTGACCCCTTAACAAGCCTACTGTATATATATATGTGGGACGTTGTCCAGGGTGACATATAACCTACCTATAGAGCAGTCAGTTCCAGTCCAGCCGTCGTTACATTGACAAGTGCTGTTCACACACCTCCCTTTACCATTACACTGACCAGGACAACCTGGCAATAACGTTATATTATAAGACCACAGACACAGATGTGGTTGTATATGCATGCAGGTATGCATATTATTGGATATGGCAAAGGATATTAATTCAGCAGTTAAAATAACACAAAATAACACGGATATTTATAAATAAGGCAATAAAGAATATGTGCACATGGAATTTAATTTATGCGTTTTTAATATCCATTAATATTCTCAGTTCTATCAATTGGTTATTTTATCTGATTGTGCAATTGTGTCTTTATATTTATCCAACCCTTTACGTGTTGCCAGAATGATTCAACAACAATAATAATAAAAGTCTGATATGGCGTGAATCTGCACACGTACAAAGTATGTTACCGTTTTGATACCGTGTATATATATATATATATATATATATATATATATATATATATATATATATATATATATATATATTAGATCGATCCAACTGCACGGGTTCTGGTAGACAGAGGCATATATATATATATATATATATATATATATATAAATTTTTATTTAATTCAAGCGGATTAGGCAAGGAGTGGTGTTAGAGATTCTATATACATGTATATTAATACTCACCTAGTTCATATGTTTCTTGGTTGGAGAAAGTGATATCTTTCGTGACCACGATGTCATAGACACACTCCTGCAGTAATACACCCTCCAGTCCTTTCCCCTGACATACCGTCTCTGCAGCCTGAATATTGGGGTAATGACGGTATAGCATTATATAGGTTGCAAATGTTAATGTCACCTACTCGGGCTCATCCTTACACTTACCGACTATGCTACTAATTTGGATAATCCAATGATTTGGAATTACCACATGTACCCGTTTTCCTTGAATGTACTGAGGTATTTGGATATAACTTCAAGAGCTTTCTAAAACTAGTCGGTGATGTTAAGCCCCCTTTACCAAAAAATAAATGAAATTCTACATGCAAGCAAGACCTCTTTTAAAACTCAAAAAGAAAAGCTGTCCCTATTTCTCTACGGTCATATATCTTCATCACCCACCCAAAACGAAAGTATCTTCGAAACTGTTGCAAATTTTCTTTTCTTCTTCTTTCTTTCTGTACTTAAAGTGATAATAACTCTTCGTTTCTGCCAAAAAATGAATTTTCCTGGAGTAAACAACAATTTTCCCATACTTACCAATGGTTAATGAATCCATTTTTACATTCAAATTCAGTCCCTGTTTTTTTCTAAAAAGTTTGGTTTTTTGTTAAAATCTCTTAAGAGATTTTAACAGAGTATAGCCATCAATGGAGGTCACGTGGTCTAAAGACAAGCTCACATATCAGAATAATAGCTATAACTGCTGTTTTTGTGGTAAAACAGAATATATTATATTTCTTTGAGTTATTCACAATGTTTTTATTGTGAAATATAGATCTCATACGAAGAGTTATTATCCCTTTAACTTGTGTTCCATAATATTTGAAGTTTTACACTTACTCTGTTGTATATATGTATATACCTATCCATTTGTTTTATTTATTTACTTATTTAATTTTGTGGAGAGCATATAATGCTTCCAGCGCCTTGCCTCCACTTCATTCTTTTGAATAAACGTTGTTAAAAAAATGTTAAGCACAAGTGAAGCAACAATATGTGTTCGAGACGACATTACTTAATCACATAATACATTTTCTTACACCGGTTTCATATTAAGTATCTAATCAGTTTGTTTATCATACGTTTACAGTATAATTCTGTATAGACCTTTTTCATCTTTTCCGGAAATGGCAACTGCATTGACGGTAGGGGAGCCCTGCTATGTCGAAACACTTACAGCGGTGCTAAAAACCATGGCTGAGTTTACGTGCTTTTTGTCCCGCTGCTACAATAACAGTAAGCGAGATCGACACATGAGGTTTAATAAGTTCCCAACAAACCCATTAGAATGAAAAATATGGTAGAAAGAAAGGAAAATATAGCAGGTTTGGATCAAAAGCAGGGCACCGCGTTTGCGCTGAACATTTCGAAGGCGGGAAGAAAAACTATAATATTAGGAGATCAAGACCAGTGAAAAATTTCAACATCATTACTTGCAACATTAGAACTCTGAAGAACAATGAAAGACTTGCAGGATTGGAAACTGAACTCCAGGACACCGGAGTTAAATGGCATGTGATAGGCTTGTCAGAAATTAGGCGAGCGGAAGAACGCTTAATTACCTTGAATAGCGGACATATATTGTACCATACAAATGCTTCAAATGGCCAACAAGGAGTTGGATTTCTGATACACAAGGCGCTAAGCAAGAACATCATCGAGGTAAAGCAAATTAGCGCAAGGGTGGCTACAGTCAAGCTCAAAGTGAATCAGAGATGAAACTCATTCAGGTATATGCACCAACATCAAGCAGACCAGATGAAGAAGTAGAACAACTGTATGAAGAAGTACAGCGTCAGTTGACAACAGACTGACACTACCACATAGTCATGGGTGATTTCAACGCCAAGATCGGGATAAAGTCAGACGAACAAGAGCGTGCCACAGGGAAATTTGGCAGCGGAGAGAGATGAAGCGCAGCCAAAGGAACAAGCAGGTTTCAGAGGCCAGTACACCACTACTGATCATATGCACACTGTCAACCAGCTCAAAGAGAAATGTCTCGAGTATAACATTCCACTATGTGAAGCATTCGTTGATTATGAAAAAGCCTTCGACTCCGTAGAAACCCAGTATATACTGGCATCCCTGCAAGATCTAGGGATCGAAGATGGATACGTAGACGTCCTCAAAGACATATACACCGATAGCTCTGCAACAGTCAAACTACACAAGACCACCAATAAGATCAGGATCAAGAAAGGTGTACGCCAAGGAGATACAATCTCTCCTAAACTGTTCACAGCAGCATTGGAACGTATATTCAGGGATCTAGACTGGTAAGACAAGGGCATAAACATAGACGGTACCAGGCTCAATCGCCTTAGGTTTGCAGACGACATCATAATAGTAGCAGATGATGCAAAAGACCTAGAAGAAATGCTACAGGCGTTAGCAGATGAAAGCGCAAAAAGTGGGCTAAAGATGAACACCAGCAAGACAAAGGTCATGTTTAGACCACTAACCACCCCTTGCACAGTGAAAGTCAACACCAAAGAGATAGAAGCAGTGGAAGAGTATATATACCTTGGGCAACGGTTCAGCCTTAGTGATCGAACACTGGAGAAAGAAATCCAACGAAGGATAAAAGCAGGATGGGCAGCATATGGGAAGCACAATGACATCTTCAAGAGCAACCTTCCTACCTGCCTGAAAAAGAAAGTGTTCAATGCTTGTGTGCTGCCGGCAATCACCTATGGTTCAGAGACCTGGGCACTGAATGCCTCCATGGAACACAAGCTTCAAGTAGCTCAGAGAAAGATGGAAAGAATTATGTTGAACATCAATCCAAGAGAGCGGAAAACGAATGTATGGTTACATGAACAGACCAAAGTCAAGGACGTACTACTCACAAATAAAGAAATGAAATGGAGGTGGGCAGGACATGTCAAAAGAATGAAGGACAATAGGTGGACAATCAGGCTTACAGAATGGACCCCAAGGTATGGACAAAGAAAAAGAGGAAGGCCGGTCAAACGATGGAGGGATGAATTAGATGACTACTGGAGGTCTTGGAAGAAGAAACCTTGGCCAAACTGGAAATCTGAGGCTCAGTATAGGAAACAATGGAAAAAGCATGCTGCGGCCTTTGTCCAACAGTGGAACACTATAGGCTCTAAATGATGATGATGATGATGATGAACGGTGCTTTAATAAAAAACAGAAATGCTTAGTTAATCAACGGATATAACGAACTATCGGCAAATAGAACTCGGGGATAAACAATGCGAGAAAAAAACATTATAAAGATCTGAAGAAAAAGTTGAAGAATAGGGGCCTAAAAAGAAAGAAAAGACTTTAAGCATGAGATTATGGAAAAAGAAAGTAAAAGCTGTGAAGTTTTACTCGGGGATTCTACTTACAAAAAATTCAATAACTTTCACGACTTTGTGTGTAACAACAAAGAGAAGGTTTGAAAAGTTTTGTATGTAATATCCTTTTTGTGTGTGTTTTACTGATAAGTGATCATTTTAAATGTAGTAGGCCTATCACAGGTTTTAGTCTCTCATAACCCTTAGTAAGGTGGGTTCTATTTTTTTAACGAGAGACGTTAATAAAACTTTTATTGTTGTGTATACGTATTACTGATTTGTACAAATGGGGCTCATATTATCAAGATCAACAGAGACATACGAAGAAGAAAGTACATCGGCTCTTGTTGAACGCGTTATCGGCAAAATAAAAAGTTATTTATTTCTGAATTCAATGACAAGAGAATTGGAAAATTCAATGGGAATATATTGTTAATTTAAAAAAATGCAGAAAAGCCTTTCTGTAAGCTACACGTGCATAATGCATGTATTGTAAAGACAAAATGGATAATAAAAATAATCTAACAACGTATTTGTAAAGTCATACAAATATGCTTAGTATTAAAGTAGGCCTACTACCTGTATATTTAACTGTCTTAGATAGTTGAAAAGTATGAAATGTGTGGAAAACACTTTATTTGAATGATTTTATTGTCTTTGATTGAAAACGATGAAAATACGCATGAAAACATTTAAAAATCAAATAATTTGGCCTATTGCTATAATTTTGTTTTTGCTTGACAGTTTTGTTTCAGTTTGACAAAATTTTCATACTTGTCAGACCGAAAGTCTGACATTTTTTACCTGTTGTAAATTTTGTACATATACATGTACTAGAGTAAGACACGGTAAACTTTAATTATCGTCTGGGAAAGAGTCGAGAATTCCTGTCTCACCAATTTAACACTTATTAATTAGAAGGTTTTAATTACAGAGGAAAGGTCGTAGTTGAGGCCGCCACCCTTACCGAACAATTGAACAAGTAACACCTGATGCCTTATCAGGTACCAAACGATTTAATCAGTTCACCGACGAACAATCTGCGTGTCAGTTTTACTTGTATACACAGTAGGTACGAGTCAAACAATGCAGGGAATCTTTTCATTTTATCATTTCAAAAATCTCTTAAGACATCCTTCAAACAAGACATAAAAATCGTAATGAATTGATACTGCCGGTAAATGAGGTGATATCGCCACAGCTTGCATATATACATGTAATATTGTGAAGACGTAGGCCTTCGCACCTGTCCACACTCTTGAAAGCTGTGTACGAGTCTACTGGCTATTTTGATTTAATATATAAAAAATTACGAGTCTCTTTCGCATATCTTTATTATGGGAAGCATTTAAAAGAACTCTGAAGCTTTAGTTCGTCATCACTATTTAAAGTGCAGCCAAGGCTCGGACGCTTAGGAGAAGTCTAGTTGTACAGCGCATCGTATTTAAACTGAGAAAAAACATTTAATTGCTTGATTCTCCGTCCAAATAGCTCTTGCCTACAGTTTACGCATTGCTGTGCTTCATCCACCTGTTTAGTTTGACAGAAACCAGTGCACGCTTCAAACGACCTATTTATATGCGCACCTTGTACATCATCTACACCTAGCATTGCCATGCTGGAAACAGCAGAGGACTACCATGACCCCTGTGGCGCGCGGTTCCTGTCATGCGCACTTCGTATTTCCGCAAAAGATGAAAAAGGTTAACTGGTATATACGTATTTGTGATGGACACTGGTCATTTTGACCGCAATGGCTTTAAGCGTTATATACAGGTAAGAGGTCACTGACCTTCATCTCAGCCTGTGACACGTTCACGGGACCGTAGGCCGGATTGTATAGACTAGGGTCGGTGTAGGAGGGGTCCATGACGTCATCAGCGTGGAAGTTTGAACTGTCCCAGGACCAACTGCCGTATAATCCAGAATCAGAAAATGAAGTACTGATTCTCCCTGTGGTGATAACGACAAATGCAAAAATGTTTTCAAAGGAGCAAATGATGAAAATTCGAACAATTAAGACAATGTTTTTGTACACTTATTTCTATATATGCTAAAGAAAATTACGCATTAATTACAAATCTGATTCTTTTCACCGCTATATACAGTCTATAAACCATATGGTATTTTATCGCCATACTCTGAATTTCAAAGAGAAGAAGTCAAGAATAAATATGTAATCAAGCTCATAAGTACATTGATCATTCTCTCTAATAGTTGACGTATTATTTTTTCCTTATGACTCACATGACTCGGCAAATTCCACTGCCTTGTCCTTGGTGACCACGGTGCCATTGGCCATGGTGAAATCGTTGTCATGGTTGTCGTCCATCAGTCCGCACAGTCCAGTCGTCCGCCCCTTAAAACTAGCAGTTAGACCAGAACGTACGTTAAGGAAGAGACGCCCCATCACCGGACTGAACCGGACGTCTACTGTGACAGATACACCTGAGGGAAAATAAAGCGTTGACACAATCAGTGCCAATCACCACAGGCGTGAGGAAAGGAAAGGGGGGAACTATTCAATTGGTCTCAAAGAAGTGTACAGAGTCACTAAACCATGTGTTCTGTGCCTAGGACTACCATGGTTAAAATACGTAGCTAAGCCTTCCACCCCCCTCCCGGTGTAACGTGAAAGAGAGCCCGCTTCCCATTCATTCATACCAGTGAGCCTTGCCCATAGATTTTGACCCATTTAGGTCAGGCAAACCCTAACCATTATAACTATACGGAGGGCGGACTTTCTGTTACACGGACCCTCAGTTTCGTTACACCGGCCTCCAGCGGCTATGCCACACCATATATAGTAGAACACATACCAGTTATTAACTCACAGCCTACATCACATCCAGTGGCTATTATGTATGAGAATATCCTCTTCAAATTACTCGCATTAAGGTGAAAGAACATAAATATAACAGTCTACATACCGGTGTCATACTGGATTGCAATCATCATCACGGCACCAGTGGCGTTGTTCCTGACCTTAGCAATGTCTACAATGACGGTGTCGTTGTTAAGCGTCAGTCTTGTGTTGTTTTTGGTTATGCTCTGGACTAGCCCGTCAATTCTGAGTAAAAAACAATTATCTAAACATACGTTTATGCGTTTTATATGCCGGGTTTTTCTATATTACCGTGAGGTACATGGCACATGTAGTAAGACGTCTACAATAACGACCATTTTAATGATATCTTTAAAAAATCCAAGAACAATACATCCATTCGTTTCATTGACCATATGATTGATAAAACAAGCGCAACCATCTTGCTATTTGTTAGATCCAAAGTTTGATAGAATCTTTCCCGATTTTAATGTCATATTATTCAAAGGCAATGTTACTAGTACACTCTTTATACACATCCAATTCACCTTAAAGTAGGAAGAGTGGTTTCAGTAGCATTGACCGGTGTAGTAATGGTGGCCACACTGTGACCGACCTTGACCGCGGCGGCACCGACCAGTGACGCTTGTTTATAGCCGAAGAACCTGACTTGTACGCCAAAGTCGTTAGCTGTACTCATACAGTCCCAGAACTCCCCGATACCATGGTAGTCGTAGGATATACCTTAGGAAACAACGAATTCATACAGTAAGACTCCGTTCACATGGAAAGTCTATTTTCTAAAAAACTATTTTCTATTCGCGGTATCTTGTAATCACGGTCCCTGTGCCCTGTATATCCCGAGAATTAATTACAGCTTTGGAAGTAACTGGCTCGCGCCGCCAGTAATTACGCTGCGGGATATTCAGGCAGGGCACAGGGACCGTGATTACAAGATACCGCGAATAGAAAATAGATTTTTAGAAAATAGACTTGTCATGTGAACGGGGCCTAAGTTATACCATTACTTTAGCAAACGTGGTGAACAACGGTTATTTCATTTCACGGCGATTTCGAGACGGTATGATTAGATCAAGAAATAAACATCGATGCATACTAAACCTCCGAAGAATTGTAAAGAAAAATTATATTATATACGTATACACGTATGGTACAAAAGTGATTAAAAGAACCGCAGTATATTATGACTTTCCAAACATTTTGAAAAACATGTCTAAAGATAAAGTGAGTTAAATTCAATGAGAAATGTTGACGATGTTCACCCACCATCTGCTGTCTGTAAGTGAGGATCACCTCCCATGTTTCTTGGTATTCTGACATTACAACAGACGCCGGTCCAGAATTGGAAACACTCACACCTGGAGCTACAGAAGTACGACTGAAGGGTGCAAACACCATTGCCGAAACATTCTGAAATGCAACAGGGGTGTTTGTAATGCAAAGGTTATATCTGTTTGTATGAATTCAGCGGCTAGTTCATAGAACATTTAGCAGAGATAAGACACAACCAAATAATGAAGTTGATATAATGATAAATAATTTAAAGGAAAAACATTTGTAAAAATAAAAAATGTAAATAATTATCTTTCATGCTGTGTAAATTCATGCAACCGCGCCAGCCTATCGTGCATTTACACTTAAATTTAGGGCGATTCACCTTGCAACCCGTTGTCTGTCTGAAAACTGCATGGTTCACAGTCCGGCTGGTCACACTGCTCTCCACGTCGACCTCGTACACAGGCAGGGTACAGTCCACACTGGGTCTTCTCACGACAAACACAACGACAGTCTTCCCACACAGGCTCGTAGGCAGAGTCACACACCGGGCAGCTGTAGAAGCAAAAACTAGACATTCAAATCAGATGACTTCAATAGTTCAGAAACTTATAACACGTAACTGTAAATAGTTGCCTCATTACAAGCAAATTCGATAAATTACAGAATATAACAGGTGTACACGTTTATCAATATAAGTATATGCCTGTCTGTGCCTCTACGTGGGGTGCAATATACTCACATATCATTCGGACAGTAACACGTTCCATCACTAGTTATAACCGAGTTCTGGCAGTTTTTACATTCACATGAACAATGACAGCCACCATCAGGTTTAACGGTACCATAACCGCCATTTGGACATTCACAGCCACACTAGAAATATACACATTGATATAATGGACAGAAATATAATAACAATTAAATATGGTTTCAAGATCGATATACGGATGTCAAAAGCATTAAGTCAGTTAAAGTTGCACTTTGAAATTCACTAAAATACCAACGTTTTGCCTTTGTTCCATTATTTTGAAACATAATCAAAACGATAACAATGATGTCTGAATTGCACTGTGCATCGAAATAACTCTATTCAACCATCTTAACAAATTCTTTACATAAAACCTCCATGAAAATTAAAATGAATACAACATTTTTATTTTATGAAGATGTACATGTTCTGTACCTCACACGTGCCGTCTGCGTTCATCTCCCGTGGCCAACCGTCCGCACAGTGACATGGACACGCAGGCTGAGAAGGGTCATCAGTGATCACCTTTTTAGTTTTACCATCCGGACACTTGTCACACTGGCAACTATGGTTATACTGTGAATCATAACCAAATATTAACAACTGATTCAATATCATAATATGACTTTCATATTTATATTTCAAAAAATTGCCATCGACTTAAATTTGTAAATGCTTTCTTTGGTTGCTTTCGGCCATGAATTAAGTTTTGATGTTGAAAGACTAATTTTATGTCGAGAACGGACATAGAAACGTATTAAGCGATAGAAAATTCCCTGCAACACAAACTTTTTAGTATCAGGATTGTCCAGGCAATAAAAACACAAATGACACAATTCACCTCAATACTACTGCTTCCATCAGGACATAGGCAGGTACCGGGTCCAATAGGGCACGTGCTGGCTACGGTAGCTGGCCTACAGTGCCTGTAATGCCGGTTAAATTATATTTATTAATGATCACCATTCAATGCCATTAATGAATATACCTAAATGTGGTATAAAAAAGACATAATTTAAGTTCTAATATCATGGCCTCGAATTGATAAGCTGACGCTCTTGGTTAACATTTCTATAACTGTATGGTAATGCACCTTGGTATTGAAACACCTAACTGTTGGCGCTTAAACTGAAATACGTAATACACACATCAGATATGAAGATGTCAAACACAACGGTTCACACACTTACGCAGAAACTTTTACAGCATCAGGAACAAGCACATATTCTTCAAGGCTTCTGAAAATCGAATATGCCGCTTCTAAACGAAGAAACCCAGCGTCTTTTCTGTTCCCTGGCCCCACTTTGTGGACCACAAGGTGCACGCCCTCATGCCCGGAACAGATCTTAGAACAATTGGTAATGTCCAAACTGTCCGTGATAGGGGCTGTAGTCGTGTATGTGACAGTCTCAGACTGACTGACAACACCGGGGTCTGAAACAACAATGACATGCCTTCTGCACTCCAATCCCAAATAAGCTCCGTGTATTGTATTCACACACTCACGTACGTGCATGCACACCACCTACTACACTTCTACTACACTGCAATACTCTAATAAAGCAGCCATCGCTTAAAGGTACATACGAACCGAGCATCGGTGGAGCGTGGATTCCCAGTAACACATGTAAACCACTTCTACTAGATTCTTATATGACTCAAATAAATTCGACATACCAAGGGATAAACTGAATAGATCACTCGATCAGCCGTAAAAGACATTTAGACTGCTCATTTCTTTAAATTTTTGGTTGTAAATTTAACCTACTTTCGTGACCTACTTTCCTGCCCCATTGACATACAGCTTAGAATGCCAGCAGAAAAATCCGTTCAAACATCATTTTCGGGTAAAATTAAATAATGCCTTTTGGTAATTCTCTTAGTTATACTACTTGAAACTATATGCTGACATTTGTTTGGTTTTTGTGACAAAAATTGACTTTGTATGCATCTTTAAGAGTCCCTAACATGCGTATAGTCGTTTCTGAAAGGCTAATACTAACGGGATTTTTACAATACTACAAACCAGTGCCAACAGCAAATTTATAAAGCAACGTAAACAAATGTGCCAAGGCATAGGTGTTCGGCCGTGCTACATGTGTACATACACGTAGGTTCTGCTGGTGTTCTATGCTTTTTTTCTGATGGCTTCATTATGCGGTCTAACTATGTGTACGTCGAAGCATCTGTGTTACAGGGACCAATATAACTAGGGGACGTATAATGATATGCAGAGACATGTGACAACCGTATTGGAACACGAGGACTCTGGAGTAGGACTTACCTATCAAATCCTTTAGAAAACGAAGAACGAGCGAAGGGTTGACGAGGTCGTAAACTATGGTATCCGAGGCACTGGGAAACTGCACGTGCAACGCTGGTTCTATGGCAACGTTTAGATGAACACTGCCCATGTCATCTGCGTGATCTACATCATGTGTCACGTCAGTCACCTGGAAAAACAGATCCTTCAATTTAATTATAGCTACAGTGGCGTATAACTCTGTTCCCACTAAAGGCTCATTACTTTTTATATCAGAATCAACTCATCAGGTTGCCTGTATTCAACAGAAACAGTTATTTCCAGACGACAAATTAATATCTGAAAGCCATAATCACAACTATATTCAGAATTTTAATTTTAAAAATTGGAATTTATTGTCTTTTAAATATGTACTCCCAGCATGTTAATTCTTTGATAACCTGTATTAATATCTACTACTATAAATAATTTTATTAATAAAGTACAGAAAAACCGCTCAAATATTACACTCCTTAGAACAATGAAAATACAAATGGTACAATGGTTAAACTGAATAGACAAATAATGTGAGTAGACCGTTCACTACGAACATCAATAACAGAAACATACATCGGCACCTTACAGAAAAAGTGGGCGCCTTTGAATAGACTGGTAGCAGCTAGTGATGCAGGGGGGATTCTTTCTTTTTCGCAAAGATAAATCAACATTGTTTTATTGTTAAGAACAAATTCTGGTTGAATTTCTGGTTGCAGTAAAGCAAAAGTTTCAAATAAGTTGCAAATAATTTATTAATAATAATATCAATACCCAGCGAACTGAAACTTACAGCAGCTCTGGGAAAGTGCTCCCCGTCGGCTCCATATCTCCAAGTTGCACCGAGAGTTTGCCGGACTCGTCCTCGGGAATGATGTCGCAATATGCCGGTACCCTGAAATTACGGCGAGTTCCAGGATTAAAAAAACACACACATACACATAGGCAGCTGGGGATTGCAGGAACAACAGAACACTATGGCTTCACTGTGGGTGGTCGCGTAATAAAAGTGTGTTATAAACTGCGAACATAGGTTGAAGGGCGCCCGTCCCCCTCTCAAACAGGCGACCTCGACTGACTACAGTTAAACCGTTTTTGGTCGGTGTTACTGCTTCCCACTTACCTGGGATGTTGCCGTAAAACTGTACTTCATGTTGAGGAGAGCGATATTAAGAGGCAAGCAGACGTCTTGTGAGATAGCCAAGCAGTGCACGCCAAGAGATGTACGTTTAGATACAAGATAATGATCTTCGTTGACTTCGGTGTATCTGAAAATTAAAGGAACGCACTAGTTTAAAACAGCATACAGATTACTTAAGAATAGTTGTACATGTACCGTATGTTGCAATTGGAAAATGGCCAACCTGTGATATTTCCTTAATGTGCAGCCATTGCTTGTAGCAAGTACGTTTTCCTTATTTGAAGTAATTACAATAATGGTTGCAAACAATGAAAGTAAAAAAAAAAGCCATGACTTTTATTCAACAACCTACAACTTCGCCGTGAGCACATTACGTTGTCTACGTTAAAAAAGTGAATCACTGGACCATTCATACCTGACCAATGCCTCATAACTGTTGTTCATATTGTAGTCAATGGTTGCATCCAGTCGGATCCCTATCTTCTGTGCTTTGGGAACAGTGGACTGTAGATGGAGCTGCAGTCCTGCTGTCACCACTATATTCATGTCAACTGACAGCTGCTTTCTTAACGCTGAGGTTGTCTATATACAAAGGTAAATGTTATTATATTCTAATTCGCTTACGCTTAAACGTATATAAATTATTTATCGTCTAATAACCCGCACGAAAATGCAGTAGTATCGAAGTAGTAAAGAAGCATTAACGCAGTAGTGGTGTGGAGCATATTTGCAGTAGAAATGCAGTAGAGTCTACTTCAATTCTACTTCAAAAATTACATAGGGTTGTACAGAGGAGGAGCATTAATGCAGTAGATTAGCAGCATGATAGAAGCATGTTTCAAATATGCTAATTAGCTCCCCAATCAAAGCAGATTTGAAGCATGTTTGCAGTATGATTGCAGTAGTCTACTGCGCTGGAGTATCTACTTCGTTTTCGTGCGGG